TATTGTGATACCTGAATGATATATGGTGCAGCGTTACTCAATGGCAACGGGTACCCATATTCAAGGATTACGCACAAAGGTGGATCGTTATGCAACTAAGATCCCTGAAATGTGGTTACGATAATATACATAGTATTTCCTATCAAGTAAAATACATACTCAAGTAAGATTACATAATTACCAAGAAGCTGATACTGCAATTACACATTATTGAGCTCATATTCATAAATCTTACATTAAACATATAACATACAATACTTTCATCTGGGAGAGTGTGTGACACAACTGGTGACCAAATAAACATACATAGCAATATGTATTACCATGACTTTGCAACAACCTTTGACAATGAGAACAACAACAACGGGCACCTAATTACAACCACTGACAAAAAGACCAACTAGAAATATCAACGTAAAACTATGTATTCACAAGCTTGGTTGAAACATACCAAATAATGACTATAACAATAACTTGTACAACATTTGATTCAACATACCAATTAGTGATAACAATGTATACATGACTGCTCATTATGTAACATGCTAGGAAAATTAATGTCATATAACGTGTGGGTGCAATCACATGACATGGATATACATGTCACGTAACTAGTGGGCGCCTGCTATGAAACATGCCGACGCGTGCTACATGACATATGGGTGCGATTACACATCATGTGGATACATGCTATGTAACAAGTGGGTGCATGTTATGTAGTAAGTGATCAATCATGAACATGAGTGAAACTGTATACTCAAGTTGGTGGTAGTACATCACCAACTTATAATATTCCATGACACAACATAAGGGTGGGTGCAACAACTTGTATTCCCTTTGGTAATATTGGGTGCAACAAATTGTATCTCCCTAGGGTTGCTTTGGGGAAAGCCATACATGCATACAGTATATAAATTATAGTACGACCTTAATGCAACGATACAATAAAACCGACACTCCAACCATCCATAAACAATAGAACAGTTCAAGTTCAAAACTAGTATCAGGCTAGACCATAAACCAGGGTTCCAACAGGGTTTAAATCATTACAATCATCTATCTGATACTAAGTGTTGCCCAACAGTAAGACTTGAACTCCATAAGCCGACTACATACAAGCGAGACATTACGTAACATACAGCTGCACAGGGTAGTTTGCAGTGTACCAAAACATGATCAATTTGGGTATTGATCATCAACAATGAGATAAACTGACATGATCAAACTGGGAATGTTGATCAACAACAATGAAGCAAACTGACATGACCAAACTGGGTATGTTGATCAACAACAATGAAGCAAACTGACATGATCAAACTGGGTATGTTGATCAACAACAATGAAGCAAACTGACATGACCAAACTGGGTATGTTGATCAACAACAATGAAGCAAACTGACATGATCAAACTGGGTATGTTGATCAACAACAATGAAGCAAACTGACATGATCAAACTGGGTATGTTGATCATCAACCATGTAAACCAAATATGGGTCAAATAATTCCAATGTGCTTTTACATTAACAAGTCAAATCAAAATCTAAATGTAATACTTGCCAATTTGTCACACTCGATACATAGAGTGCTTAAAGCTTGAAATGAGGTGTAGGGTGTCCATCCACATGAGGTATTTGCATCAGCATATGAGTGGTTGGTGGTTGGTGGTATGTAGTTCGCCATTTGACAGACGTGCTGACATTTGAAAGTGATGCGGGAGGGGTGAACCTCAAACTTCAAGCCTGATTTGGGGGTCAGACTTCGTGCAAATCCTGTTGTAATCACCTCATGTGGACGGACGACTTACTGGTGTAAATCGTGAGACAGTTTAGACACCTCGACGGTCAACAATAGCGACATTTTGAGTGAAGATAGCGGAGCAAATCACGAATGATTTACTCGAAAAACATAAGATGGCTACCTGTCTTCTGCGCATGCGCAGCGACCGACATAAATTACGAACTTATGTAAATCCACAAAAATGGCCATAACTTCGACAATACGGGACCGATTGCTAAGTTTAAATAAACTACCTATAGAGAGCTGAATTTACGTATTAGGTGCATATCCTATTAGATTAACGATAAAACATAGTAAACAGGGTGAAATTTAGACCAGAAAACTACGACAGTGACCTTTGACCTTGTACGTCAAAAGTACGAATGGCACTAAGAATAGTTCGAGAATTACGCCAAAAGTACGAACAGAACTAACAATATCCACAAATCACTAGAATATGACACTTTAGTGGATAATAACGATCTAAACATGTATGTGAGTATATAAACAACATTAAGTGAAACCCAACAGTGGTGAGACAATTAACTGACATTACTGAATATCAGCAAACAAGTAAGTAAATCTGTTGGGTTATCACAAAAATATGAAATTGATCTACCAAACGGTTCACTTGAAAACGGGTAGACAAGACTTTACAGACAAGATTTTAGGACAGAAAATCCAAAATGGCTGCCTTAACATTTACGCAGAATGCAAAAAACTAATCAGTTGTAGATTTTCATACAAAGAATCATCCCTGAAAATTTGAAATTGATCTATCAAACGGTTCACCTAAAAACGCGTAGACAAGACTTTACAGGCAAGATTTTAAGACGGAAAGAGGGGTGAACCTCAAACTTCAAGCCTGATTTGGGGGTCAGACTTCGTGCAAATCCTGTTGTAATCACCTCATGTGGACGGACGACTTACTGGTGTAAATCGTGAGACAGTTTAGACACCTCGACGGTCAACAATAGCGACATTTTGAGTGAAGATAGCGGAGCAAATCACGAATGATTTACTCGAAAAACATAAGATGGCTACCTGTCTTCTGCGCATGCGCAGCGACCGACATAAATTACGAACTTATGTAAATCCACAAAAACGGCCATAACTTCGACAATACCGGACCGACAATACGGGACCGATCTGTTTAAGTTTAAATAAACTACCTATAGCAGAGATCACAGTAGACGTTCGCCATTCGCCAATCGCGAATTTTCGAAAGAGGTGGCGAAAAATATGTAAAGGTATTTCGCAGTTATGGCGAATTAGAGTTGTCACGGTTTCCCGATATTGGTGCTTCGGTTCGGGACATGGGACAGAAAGGGTTAATATCGGTACATAGATTCCTTCCCTAGAATGCATAAAAACGTGTATAAATAGCGAGGAACACCTCCGACTTCGTTCTGAAAAATTAAATATTTTCACTTACCTCGTACCTAGTTTACACTTCTTTGCATTGAAAAGTGTTATTAACGGACCCGCGATTTCAGGTAGATGGTAATGCTTGTTCGTAAATTTCTTCATCGTCGTTCGCAAATCGAGTGCATTATCAGTATGCCGGATGTAGGAAAGAAATTGAAAAATCGAGCCGGCATCTAAGTCGAAAAAGTCGGCAGTTTGGAAGTATTTTGGGACTCCGATATCACAAGGTTAACGAATTGGTGATATTACACCGTGCAGACTATGTGAAATGCCGATCACATTCGCGGCAGATGCTTTACATTCAATTTTAATTGACGTTTTTTTATTTCTGAATATGATTTTGAAAAGTGAAACTGAAAGTGAAACTGTCATCATCAGACATTTCATCATTTTTAATGTTCCCTTTTTTACGGTTTTTCAAAATGGCTAATTCATATTTTGGTTGGCGAAATTTTTTTTGGAAGATTTAGCCACAATGGCTAACAAGTTTTTTCAACTATCGTGATCTCTGCCTATAGAGAGCTGAATTTACGTATTAGGTGCATATCCTATTAGATTAACGATAAAACATAGTAAACAGGGTGAAATTTAGACCAGAAAACTACGACAGTGACCTTTGACCTTGTATGTCAAAAGTACGAATGGCACTAAGAATAGTTCGAGAATTACGCCAAAAGTACGAACGGAACTAACAATATCCACAAATCACTAGAATATGACACTTTAGTGGATAATAACGATCTAAACATGTAGACAAGACTTTACAGACAAGATTTTAGGACAGAAAATCCAAAATGGCTGCCTTAACATTTACGCAGAATGCAAAAAACTAATCAGTTGTAGATTTTCATACAAAGAATCATCCCTGAAAATTTGAAATTGATCTATCAAACGGTTCACCTAAAAACGCGTAGACAAGACTTTACAGGCAAGATTTTAAGACGGAAAATCCAAAATGGCTGCCTTGACATTTATCCAGAAACCAAAAAACTAATCAGATCTAGATTTTCATTCTAAGAATCATCCCTGAAAATTTGAAATTGATCTACAGAACGGTTCACCTGGAAATGCGTAGACAAGACTTTACAGACAAGATTTTAGGACGGAAAATCCAAAATGGCTGCCTTGACATTTACCCAGAATGCCAAAAAACTAATGAGATCTAGATTTTTATACTAAGAATCATCCCTGAAAATTTGAAATTGATCCACCAAACTGTTCACCTGAAAACACGCAGACAAGACTTCACAGACAAGATTTTAGGACCGAAAAATCCAAAATGGCCGACAATAAAAAAGTCCTTATGAGTTTTTGCTGATTTCTATTTACAAAATTATCACATATAACTACTGTTAACAATAAAATAGGCTTTTACAACAAAGTACATCTGAAATTATTTATAAAGCTACTAAATAGTTAAAGTATGAAAACTCAAAAACACCATTCAATATGATACAAAGTATTATCGCGCGCTAACTTTTCTTAAGACATTGCTGACATGACTGAGCTAACAGGTCCAAAACCTAATCAGATCTAGAATGAAGTGAGCTGAACAAGATGTTAAAGTTTTATAAGCAACTGTGAAGCAGTTTTTCTTAAAGTTTGCAGACAAGGATTTTAGCATATGACTTCAAAATGGCCGACAGGAAGTAGGTTTCGAATTAAATTTTTTTCATCCACATATATAGGCACTCATAAGTTATCCCTGAAAATTTGATGGTGATATCTGTAGCGGATTTGGAGAAAACTCCCGGACGTACGTACGGACGCACGGACGGACAGACGGATGGACAGACAGACAGTCGGATGCGCCTAGGCCGACAATATGGCCCCACACTATGTGGTGGGGACATAAAAACGGTGTAAAATATTCTTTATGTACCAGCAAAGTATGCAGGTTCTTTAATGATACACTAAAAGGTAGAACAGACTTTGAATTACAAACTTAGAGATAGGGGCCTATGTCATACACGAAACACATTGTTACTGTAATCTTCAAGAAATAAAGCAGAAAATAAACTTGTAATAAGGAAGGTACTGAGACACCTTATATATTTAGATTACAGAACAGTTGATATTATTGTGTTTTGCAATTCAACATTTTAAAATTCAAATATTTTTGAGACAACACATAGGCCAAGAACAAAACAATAAACTCCCAAGGACAGAACACACAGACAATGAATTTTAAAAGTCAACAACTTCAAAAATATGTTAGTTTAAGCATAGGGATACTAGGATCACTTATAGCTGGAATCGTGTATGGATTTAACATATATGCGATATCCCTGAAACGGACATTTAACTTCACTCAGAGTGAACTGGACAATATAGCATCGGCAGGAGATTTGGGAATACCCATGTCTTTTCCAGCAGGTGTTATCGTAGACAGGTTTGGTCCAAGGATAGCATGTACTGTCTCACTAATACTAACAACCATGGGATTTTTGCTTATGTTGATGGCAACTGAGTTTAGATTATTTTTTAGTTCAAAGTCCTGGCTTTTATGTGCTTTTTACTTTCTGGCGTCATTTGGATTGAGGTTTCTTGTCATAGCACCAAAGGTGGTCTGCTGCAAACTCTTTGACAGAAAACATGTGGGTAAGGTGCTAGGACTTGTTGGTGCATTTCGTGGGATTAGTCCTGCAATATTTAGTGCCATCTATAGGGGATTGTTTGTACAAGGACATATTGAAGATGCAGAGAATCAAAAGCTAGGAGAGTTTATGATAATGCTAGCAGTACTATCAGCTTGTATAAATCTCTATGGTGTTGTGATGCTTAAAGTAGCTCCAGAAGAGACAAGTGAAAGTGATGAAACTGAACTATCACCAGTAAGAAGAAGCGATATTGATGCAAATGGAGCAACAACAGATGAGAAAAGCAATGGTCCAAGGGAGAAAGAAAATAAACAAAAAATGAGCGATACAACGGCACTTATTGCAGATAAAATAGCAAGATCACCCCAACCAGAGATGAACTGTTTGCAAATGATTAAAACAAGTGGATTTTACTACATTTTTATTATTTGCATAATTTTTGCTGGTACATGTGGGACATTAATAAATAATATCACAATTGTTGTCAAATCAGCAAGGATTGATCCATATTCTTTACCTTTCCCAGTCGTTATTTCAATTTGTATGTCATTGGGACAACTTCTTGGTGGAACAGTGTCAGATTTCATTATTCAGAAATGGCCAGATGTTCTGAGGGGATCTTTTCTGTTATTTCCTGGTATTATCTTCATCATCAGTCAAATTACACTCATATTTTATAATCAAAGTTTGATTTGTTTGATATTTTCCTCCGTAATACTTTCTCTGTTGTTTGGTTCCGTATTTCCTCTAACAAATGTCATCGTTTTAAGATATTATGGTATGGAACACTTTGGACAAAACATTGGACTCATTGCAGCTAGCTATGGAATAGGAATGGTTTTATTTCAAACTCTTTTTGCGTCGAATTATGACACCTACACATCATCTGGATCAAAAGACTGTTATGGAGAAATGTGTACCAAATGGTATTTTGTTTTGATGACAATAATATGTTCTTGTGCAGTTTTTCTTATTTTCTGTCTGATGAAAATTGAAAGAGATCAACAACAAGAATCTCTAAAGTCTTAGATTCTAGTATTGTACAGGGTGTATGTTTAAGTTAGTTTGTTTAGAATAATAAAACCTGCTCCTTTTTTATACAAAAATATTATGTACTAAAAAATATATAAACATTTTGAAATATAAATAATTTTACTCATATAATGTAACAAGTTACAAATTATCTGTTGAATTGATTATAGTGAATCAAATTTTTTTGTGGCGGTTCAATAGTGCACTTTAACAATTTGATAGTTCTTATTCAGCAATGGTGGGTATTAATAGATCGTCTCATTCAAGAAGAATCAAAACTTGGTCTTTAAACACTACCAGCCAGATAAACTCAGTCAAATATATACTATATACAGTAAAACCTGTTTAATGGAACGCATTTCTGTAATGAAAAGCCCTCCACAAGGAACAGTTTTCAAAAGAACCAAATATTTTTCCATTAACTTACATGTTAACTGACCCTCTCTTTATGGAACATCTGTCTACTAGGGACAGGGAACGGTGCTTTTGGGCAAATTTTGAAAATTCACCTGTTCACAAGGAACATGGAAAATAAGTTACACTGTACAGGTACATCTAATTGTTTCTCAAAGGTGCGAATGGCTTAAGCCAATATGTGATTCTAAAAACCTTAGATTAATATGAATGTTTATTACCCTTATCTTATTTTTTTAATTGATCTGTTTGTTATAAATTGCAAATTGACACTCATGCTTTTTTTCAACAAAAGCTGATCTCATCTGATAAGTTGAGTTATTCTAGGGACAGACACAACTATTTGAGGAGATAATAGAAATGTATTTGTGTGATATTGAGCCATATCTCTTTAAATCTTAAAAAAGGTCCAAATTTGCATATTGTTAATTCTACAAAATGGGGTTGATGAAACTTGAATATAGACTCTAAGCAATATTGTATTAATTCATCATCTACAATTATATGCTTATTTGGCAAATTGGTTTTTGGGATCGGCCCAAAACATGGACCCTCACTATTGGGAACACCAGTCTACAAAAAAAACAATTTTGGCCAGTCTGAAGAGCATTCCTCGTTCCCAGGTTCTACTGTACATGTAGTCTTATATGAGGCCCTTGTCCCGCCACTTTACATTTTCAAAGTCAAGGTGTTTGGAACAATAACAATAAAAAAACTTGATGCAAGACTTGAAGAATTTTCAATACACGTATAACATGACTGACCTGGGCCAGATACTCTTGCAATGATCCTCCTATCTGGGGCTTCACTATGTTGTTCACTTGCATCTTCCACCTTCTTGGAATAACCCTCTCCTATGAACGTCATACTAAACGATGAACCTGCAATCTAATAGAAAAAAAACATTTAATTAGAATCATAAAAAAATCATAACTGTAGGGCTTTATCATAAAACATTTGTCACTATATTAAATTTACATTAGACAGAGAATTCTTCAAACAGAATCTAACATGCCACAACTATTCTGAAGAATTGCTAGTGTCAACTATTGAACGATGAACACTGTGCTTTTTTCTAGGTTTATTTGGAAGAAAAAGCCTCTTCAATGAGAAGGAGTGAAAAGAATGGACTTCTCTTGGTGCAAAATATTAAAATAAAAATGTTGTTTTGTTGCGATTTAAGGGCCACCAGCTGTGAAAGGTTTAAGATTTTCTTGTTGTTTTGTTCTATGTTCCATTCCGAGAGCGTAATTCCGCGGGTCGGAAAACAATCGGGTATCTGTGACACCTCTAATAAAAAAGCATAATTTTCAGTATTTAGTTAAATACCTGTTTTCTTGTAGGTCCTTCATGGCTGAATACACCACCAGAAAAAAATCTTGGATACTAAAATAAAATAATGCAAAATATAAATATCAATTGAGATATTATATGAACTGAATGGTAATTAAAATATATATTATACTATCTTGAAGTATTATGTATCACAAGATACGGGATGAACAATATTACATTCTTGAGTATTATATAAATATGTGCCAATTATTACATACAGGAAATGTGAAGTATTAAAAGAACAAGGTATGGTATGGTTTGGATTATAGGCATTTATTTCTCAGTATAAATACAACATTTTGATTCAAACAAATAGTATCTTCCAATTATTCCCCCAAGAATGGTCCTAGAATTGTAAAATGTCCCACTTTGCTCCAAAACAAAGATTGGGACCCCACCTAAAACAATTTCTTACATTCTTGTTTAAAGACAATCTCCTTGTTCTCAACCCTGAAAATGTCAGATCAATAACTCAGATTATCTCAAAAAGTTTGCCTCACACAGTACAAACTTCAGGCAGAATTTTAGAACACTTTTTTAGTAGATTTAACATTGTTCTTATCTCCCTTATGTGTAAAACAAACACTTTACCCTCTCTAGTAAGTTCCGTCCAAAGCTGAAGTTGGCCAACAGTCCAAATATGGCACCAAAGAACATCAAGACTAGTGTGAACAGTAGTCCAGGCATACGGAAGTAAGCTTGGTATTGCAACTGGATACAAATAACAACAAAAAACTTTAAACATATTATTTTGAGGGATATCCATTTAGTAATGAGTTGAAATCATTATTTGCACAAATTAATGTTGCAGATGAGTATTGATAAACAATGAGTACTGATATACAATGAATATTGATATACAATGAGTACTGATATACAATGAATATTGATAAACAATGAGTAATGATATGCAATATTGATAAATGTGTTGAGTCAAGATCTCTTTTATGTCAAGGTGAATAGAGCCTGAATATCAATGTTACAAAATAAGAAGTTGGCAATTTATGTAAAACAATATATCAAATAACATTGCAGTCACACTTTTATTGAAGAAATACTCACAGGTCTTTCATTTCTGACTTCATAGTTGAATCTCTGTGTTCTGTTGACCACTGAACGGTCACTACCAGGGAATGGTACTGCCCAACTATTAACATCATTGTTGTAGTGTAATGTTGACCTATATGTAGAATGAAGTGACATAATTCATTCATGTTGACATAATATAGAATTAAATGACAATATAGAAGGAAATGTCATGATACATTCACGTTGACCTAATATAGAAGGAAATGACATGACATATTCATGTTGACCTCATATAGAAGTAAATGATATGACACATTCATGTTGACCTAATATAGAAGTAAATGACATAATATATTCATTTTGCCCTAATATAGAAGGAAATGACAGGACACATTCATGTTGACCTTATATAGAAGGAAATGACATGACACATATATGTTGAAATAATTTATAGAAGTATGACGTAACACATTCATTTTGCCCTAATATAGAAGTAAATGACATGACACATTCATGTTGACCTCATATAGAAGTAAATGACATGACACATTCATGTTGACCTAATATAGAAGAAAATGACATGACACATTAATGTTGACCTAATATAGAAGGAAATGAAATGATACATTCATGTTGACCAATTTAGGAAATGACATGATACATTCATGTTGACCGAGTAAAGAAGGAAATGACATGACACATTCATGTTGACATAATATAGAAGTAAATGACATGACACAATCATGTTGACCTCATATAGAAGTAAATGATATGACATATTCATGTTGACCTCATATAGAAGTAAATGGCATGACACATTCATGTTGACATAATATAGAAGGAAATTTGACCTAATAACTGATAATATCCAATGAGAGAAAAAAAGGTAATACTGGCTTTGGTTTCAGAAAAACACCACTGATTGATTCTTTCAAAAGTTTTGAACTCACTTCGCTATGCCTCTAACCAGAGGATGACTAGATTTAGGCAAAGGCGTTGGATATAGAGTCTTCCAATGTTTGCCTACCTCCGTCATATGAGCCAACACATATATAGCTGACTGGTAAGTGCCGTAGTGAAGCCTTGGGAATGGTTGGAAGTCCTGAGAGGGATAATGTTGAAACTTTATCTGGACTCTCACAAGAAAGTATTTGCGTTGTGGAGGAAAGATTTTCAGTATATATGTTTGGTTGCAGTTAATTCCATCTATTTTTATTCAACACATTTCATTTTCATTCAAGTATGTATTTAACAAAGTTCAGACTGGCAGAAATATTGGCAAAACATTAGGTTGTGGCTGCATTTATCAGACTGTGGTTCCCCAGTACAGTCAATAAGCCTACCATGAAGTTTAATCATGTTAATGTGAATGAGGCCAACCAGAAGGTTTAAACTTTGGCACACAATCTCCTTCAATGAGAAACTTCTCTAACTACTATGTACCAATGAGGTAAGGCAAGGAAAGGTGACAGCCAGGTAAAGCTTAACATGTCCTTATAATTAGAGGCACCAATTAGCAGAGAAAATACACAGCAGGAAAAATTCTACTTTACAAAGTTTTATCATGTATCAACAATTTGGATGAGGACATTTTTACTCAACAACCAGGGATGATACCTTACATACATGTGACAATCTATGGATTCCTATCCCTGTCTCAACTGTAGACAGATGGCTATAAAACCTGTCATTACAGACATTTTAGATAGGTCAAGCTATACCTTTTAGTTGGTTTATGGGGACTTCTAGGAATGGGAGCCAAAGCCATCTGCTTCCTCAGAGCAACAAGCTCTTTAGCGTGAGCAAACCCATAAATTGCAGACTGCCAGGTGGCAAAGTTCAGCCCCCCTCCCTGCAACACAGAGGCAGAAGAGACATGAAAACCCCAATCATACCAGGCCCATGAGATTAGGGAGTGCTGCAAATGGTGCTAAGGATGACATCAGAACACAAAAGGTTGAAACAGGGAGAGGGGAAAGCTGACATATACTTGACCTACGGAAATGATGGATTTACATTAAATGGATATTAACAGGATATAAACTAGGATGAAGATGGCTGCCCTACTATACATGTACTATCATCCATGCAAAAATGAAATAAAAATACCTATCTAGTATACAGAAGTGGGCCTGAACCTAATCAGTTTTTCCTAGTTCATGTATTATCATGAGTGGCCCCCATTACCCACACAGGCACACACACACTACCATTACATACCACCCAATCAAAAACACAAGACAATTACAAAACAGACCAAAAACACAAGACAATTACAAGCAGTAATATTAAGTGAAGCACAATCCAGAATCCTAAGCTAAAAACACTAAAAATTGCAGGTTCCTATCTTAAAACACAGGACCAAATATCAAACAAAGGAAAATTCACCCTGAGCATTTATAGCTCATTAGGAACACACATACATGTGATGGATTTGGTTCCTTGGGGTCAACTCAACATATCAAGTTCATTCAAAAGATTTATTACTGTATGCACATAGCCTATTTGTAATGTATTTAATGCTTTTGATGAATGATTTTTGATCTCACCCCTCATCAAGACAATTCAGCAGACGGGTTGAAGTTACAGCCAGGTATATATAAATATAGTTTGTTCACTGACCTTTTAGGAGGCTTGTCTTTACTGCGGGGTAGGGGAGTAAGCGCCATTTGTTTGCGTAACTTAATCAGCTCTCTGGCATTGGCGAAACCATGTATAGCAGACTGCCAAGTTGCATAATGCCCACCACCTCCCTGAAGCAAATATGCAAACACTTACATACGTAGGGTGAACTTTCTGGGGGAGGGAGAAGCAATGTGACTTAATCTAAATATATGAAATCTTGGATTTGAAGGGAATATATAAATAAGTATCATAAGTAGGTAAAAGAGTATATTTATATGTGGTAGGATACGTGATATTAATCTCTTATGGCTGGCCTCAACTACTTATGCACCATTCAAAAGTTTGTGTGAGACCCCCCCCAAGCAGGCATGGGTGGGGAAATTGACAAACTTTTGAATGGTGCATTACAACATACCAACATTGACTATTGAAAGAATGTCTGATTATTACTATTAGCAACTTTAAGTTCACTTTTAATTACAAAATAATATGATAAGAATTCTACACAACCTTTAATATCAATGGAACTAATGCAATGATTTTTGTAATAATTTGTATGAATCACTGAATATTATGCAACCTTACCTCGGGTCCACTCCTCATAGCAAGGTAAGATTCTATATGATTAAGATCACCTGAAAAACAATACTTCTATTACAACTGACTTCTTTCTCTTGACTTATTTCTTTTGATTGACTTCTTTATCATTTTAGCAAATCAATTCAAATGACCCTTATCTTAAATGAAGCCATTTGATTTAATTGCATATTTATGAAAATTAATGGTAAAACATTCAATCATATTATTCAAAGATTCACCTTCAAACTGGTCTCTTGTAAAGATGGCGCCCATATCTGCAGGGATACTGTCAAAGCCACATGCACCAATAACAAATACACCAGCCTCTTTGGCTGCCTGGTTGAACTTCAACTGCATCCCCTCAAGGAACTAAAATGAAGAAGGATATACATGTGTAATATCAGAAGCACGGGTGTTAAGCCACGATGATACCATGAGCACATGCTTTGAGGATCCGCGTTATTTGAACCTACTGCCGAGCTCACTTATACATTAAGTCCCGTTATACAGTCATGATACCACCGAGCAAGCTCATTGCATCATCGGGTGTGCTTTACCCCCGTGAGAAGGTCAGCATGGAAGCTTATATCATGAATAAATTTCAGAAAATTTTCTTAATAAATAACTTGAAGAATATACAAGAAATCAAATTGTTCTCCACTAATGTCTATGCGACAAGCTCCTTACCTGTGGTTCCCACGAATGTTTATGCGTTGAGCTCCTTACCTGTGGTTCTCAACTAATGTTAATAAATTGAGCTCCTTACCTGTGGTTCTCGACTAATTTCTATGTGGTGAGCTCCTTCCTGTGGTTCTCCACTAATGGTAATGTATTGAGCTCCTTACCTCTGGTTCTCCAGGACACTCCACTAGTGTCTATATGGTTAGCTCTACCTGTTGTCTCCCCTAATGTCTATGTGGTGAGCTCCTTACCTATGGTTCTCCACTTATGTATATGTGGTGGGCTCCTTACCTGTGGTTCTCCACTAACATTTATGTGGTGAGCTCCTTATCCGTGGTTCACTAATGTCTATGTGGTTAGCTCCTTACCTGTGGTTCTGCACTAATGTCTACGTGATGAGCTCCTAACTTGTGGTCTCACTAATGTCTATGTGGTGAGCTCCTTACCTGTGGTTCTCCACTAATGTCTATGTGGTGAGCTCCTTACCTGTGGTTCTCCACTAATGTCAATGTAATGAGCTCCTTACCTGTGGTTCTCCAGTAATGTCCATGTGGTGAGCTCCTTACCTGTGGTTCTCCACTAATGTCCATGTGGTGAGCTCCTTACCTGTGGTTCTCCACTAATGTCAATGTAATGAGCTCCTTACCTGTGGTTCTCCAGTAATGTCTATGTGGTGAGCTCCTTACCTGTGGTTCTCCACTAATGTCAATGTAATGAGCTCCTTACCTGTGGCTCTCCACTAATGTCAATGTAATGAGCTCCTTACCTGTGGTTCTCCAGTAATGTCTATGTGATGAGCTCCTTACCTGTGGTTCTCCACTAATGTCTATGTGGTGAGCTCCATTCTCAACAGCAGCACGAACAACAGGTTCTCCAAAGAAGCGATACTGAAAGACAAACAAACATTTCAATTCTTAATTCAATTTGTTTTTGAAAGAACATTGAATGGGATTAGATGTAGCTACTGAGGTCTTTCATCAAGATTCTTTTTGTATGGGCATGTCATGTGACACCTAAAGAGTCAATGTAAGATAATCATGTTTATACTCATAATAACGGCACTTAAATGTTTAAAATGTTACATTTCACTACATAATTAACAAAATACGCAAATAAGGAAAACTTGGTCTTTGAATGAGTAATAACAACAAGGCACAGACGTGAACAATATCGTACCTAAAACACAGCAGTGTGACAGTGAAGAATTTAGGACGGAAAATCCAAAATGGATACGTAGAAACATCCCTGAAAATTTCAGATGAATCCATCAAATGGTTTGGCTGGAAACCTGTAGACAAGTCTTGAAAGTGAAGATTTTAGGACGGAAAATCCAAAATGGCCACCTTAAAATTAACCCAGAATGCCCAAAAACTAATCAGTTCTTAACTTTGATACGTAGAAACATCCCTGTAAATTTCAAATGAATCCGTCAAATGGTTTGGCTCGAAACCTGTAGACAAGTCTTGAAAGTGAAGATTTTAGGACGGAAAATCCAACATGGCCACCTTAAATTTTACCCAGAATGCCAAAAACTAATCAGTTCTTAACTTTGATACGTAGAAACATCCCTGAAAATTTCAGATGAATCAGTCAAATGGTTTGACTGGAAACCTGTAGACAAGTCTTGAAAGTGAAGATTTTAGGACGGAAAATCCAAAATGGCCACCTTAAAATTTACCCAGAATGCCCAAAAACTAATCAGTTCTTAACTTTGATACGTAGAAACATTGCTGAAAATTTCAGATGAATCCGTCAAATGGTTTGGCTAGAAACCTGTAGACAAGCTGAAAAGTGAGACGCCGCCCGCCCGCCCACCCGCCGCCCGCCCGCCGCCCGCCCGCCAAGCTGACGACAATATCGTACCTTTATTAGGTACGATAGTACAATAAAAAGCAAAACAGAGAGGGACTTTGGTTCAGAAAATATGTACTCACTGGCCCCACGCAGTTTAGGACCACCTTGGCTTTCTTACACATCTCATTGAGGGACTCCTGGTTCTTAACATCTGCGATAATGATAGGGATGTCATCCAGGTTGATTCCTGAAACACAAGAAATAACAATACCAGTTAACATTTGAAAAGTGAATAGATTTATCAAAGTGCTAATAGCTAAACTCTGAGTGTGCAAAAGTTAGTTCTAAAGTAATGAAGAAGATGAAGCAATCTTTTAAGAAGCAAAGTCAAATGAATGGAAATGGTAAATAGCTAATGACCCTACAGCCTATAAGATATTCATAATTTATAATAATCATATTGAACCTTGAAATAAGTTTTATGTGGAAGGTTAATTTGTATTTTGAAATCGAAAAAAAGATTCAAGGTGTTTCCCAATTTGGAACTTGTCCTACTGTTTAGTAGTTTACAAGGAAGGAACTTTCAACCTTTGAAATTTTAAGTAAAAAGGTTATACTTTCTGGTTGGTTCTTACCTCTGCTGGTTACCGAAACGGTTAACAAAATGTCCGAACCTCGAAGGTACGATTTTTTTTCCTTTTTTCACGCGGTAACCAGCGTAATTGAGTGGATCACCAGTGACATATATTTTAAGATTATTTAGGATTATAATTACGTTTAATGGCTCTTTAACATCTAAAACATGACCAGATAATTCAGTGAAATTGATTACTCTCAATTTCATAGTTTCGAGTTGGCAGTTGAGTGAAAACCTATAAATACATATATCATCAGGAATATTTAGACAGGTACTTATGCAGGTCAAAATGTTAAATGGTCAGTTTTGCCTATGTTACCTTGCAAACTCTTGCAAACAAGTTTTCTTGCAAAGAATTCATTCTTTCAAGTAATTCTTTACAAAATCTTTTAAGCACATGATTCAATGAATTGTGAATGATTTTATCCACCCAAATACAAGGTTTGTATATTAAATTATGAGCTTTCAAGAAATATTCAAGTCTCAAGTACCAGGAGGTCACAATATAGAGTTATGAACTAGGTCTCAGTCTGGACTTTGCAACATGATCAGATGTTACAATGATTTCATTCCCAAGAGAGTCAATCCTCACAAGATAAGATGGATACTTGGCTAAAATACTTCCGAGTCCATAGTTCATGTCCTTAAGACAATGTCAATAATTTTCCGGATTGACAGAGGGATGGAAGGCTTCACTATATCCCTACAAAACTTGGTCGAATGGGATAATTATAATTCTTAATAAATATATGAAATAGACATGCATTATAAGACTCCAAAGAAGGGAAAGTACTTGGGGGGGACTTACTGTTTACATGTACTTCTAACAGTAATTAATGAATTCTTGTTCTTGTTCTTGAGACCTGTTATATCTTATGCCTTATCTCAACAGACACCCCTCCCTGCTAGTAAGCATTCTATTCAAAGATAAAAGACTAACTGGGGTGCAGGTAATAAATGTGAACTCATCAAAGCTTTGTCAGTCTAAACATAACATCAGCCAGACAGAGTGAGTTATCTCAATGTAAATAACTGGAGTACAGTGACTTGAACAGTTACAACTAAGTTGATATTGATCAATTACTAAATCAGGGAGGGGGATGAGTTATCCACGTATATAAACACAAAATGAGGCATGCCATTTCTTAATGCTCTAGGTGGCCACATAGACGTCATATTCTCCACTGTGGAATTAGCCTTCGAGCATAATCTATTAGTCATAAATGAAATTTTCTAATGAATACGTAACTGCAAAAAATCACTGTCAAAATCGCATGTAGTAAACAATATTGCACACCAACAGCTAGTGCATGTAATAAGTAAAGATGTTATAAACATATGACAACCACACTACTATTTTAACGTAGTTTGATTCCAAAAACAATACTTGAGTCATGATGACATAGCATAATTTGATTTCATGGTTATGTCTAGACAAGTAGATTTACTGTGTAGTATAAACAAACAATTACAAAATGCCATCACCTGGTTACATGAATAGCCCACTGGCGGATCTGGGGGGTTTGGGCCCAGATGGGCCTTTATGGTCACTACTGGGCCTTTGAAGTCCTTATTTTTTTAATTTTAGGCCAAAAATAGAAGAAAACAGGCCTCAAATTTTCAACGTTTGGGCCCCCTTTTTGGTTTCAGGGGCCCAAATTTTTTCTCAAACCTGAAATTTGGGCCCCCCCCCCCTTGTTGGTTCTCAGATCCGCCCCTGTAGCCCAAGCACTGCCATATTTTGACGAGCAATACCTCATTGAGACATATTCCATGATATTTTTTGTATTTTACTCTGAAACACAGAGCCAGAAGCAAATAATCCAAATATGTGACATATACACAATTTTCAAAGCAAATGCGTGACATATACTGAATTCCCTTGAAATTCCCGAATGAAATACGTTCGATTTTCTTTGGCGTTCGTTTTATTGATGTATCGGCATTCATTTTTTAAGTTCTTCTACAGAAATATTTTTGCTAGACAATTATCAGGTGAAATGTGTATTTGCGTGTAATCTGTCACACAAAAAAGTTGGCGTGACTTCAATTTCTTCACCAAATGCGTGACAACTACGCATACTGCAGGACAGTTGGACGGCCTGTCACTGCAAATACAAGTTGTTGTCTCAGAAAGAAATTCCTCACCAAATGACAGAATGAATACTTTATGCTCAAGCTGTTTAAAATTACAATCTGTTATTTAAACTTCATACGGAGCTTTTAAACCTGAATGTTAGCGAGCGTGAATAAATTGAGGTGTCGTTATCCCATGCCAGGACTATAGTCCTGCGAACGTCTTATTCTTTTGCCTGTACGATTACAAGATGGGAGAATTTTCTAAGCTTCTTAAGATACCTATTTCAATAGATTCCTTGGTATTTTAGCATTTTTTTCGTGTAGTTGAATCCACAATTGTCTGGGTTTATCGGCAGAACAAAGAAATTTTCGTTTTTGATCACAATATTTCTGTGTAATATTTAACTTATTTCAACCGTCAAAATCCTCCATCTATTGGTACATTGGCTACTTCCGGGTCAGTCAAATGGGGAATCCCCTTTTAAATCCAACCGCCATCTTGGATAGTGATGGAATTTCTCTCGATGAAAAAGAAAAATGTTCTGCCGATATATCCAGACAATTGTGGATTCAACTACACTAAAAGAATGCTAAAATACCCGGCCCAGGAATCTATTGAAGTACATGTAGGTATCTTAGTGTAAGGGGCGTAGATAAGATATATGTCACAAATAAAAACCCAAAAATCGCTACCCTATATTGTGACACCGATGGTAGATAATTCTCCCAAGTTGTAATCGTACAGGCAAAAGATTGTGCTCGATGCAGGACTATAGTCCTGGCACAGGATAAAGGTGTCCGATATTTTGACCAAGGTGTTCAGTTTTGAACCAAGGTGTCCAGAATTTGAAGGAAAGTGTTCAACATTTGTAACTCATGTTAGGTGTTCCCAAGTTGACAGGCCTGTAAGAAACATGTGTGAACTAGTGTGATAAAACATAACTCTAATGTTAACTTTACATTAAGTTGTTTTTGCAGATTATTAGACTAGATCTAATGTGAATAAATTTTTTTTTAAAATAAACTTTGAACTCTGGCTGAATAAAATGAAAATTCTGGAACCTGTTATTTTTGTGGCTGTTGTAAGGGTCTGTTGCAACTTCTCCATACTTCTGCCAGCTATTGCCCATTTTAGACTGGAATCTTTATCGCACAATCGCCCTAATTCTTCAACGACAAACTGACCAGTAAAGCCAGTAGCACCAAAAACAACTAAATCATACGGTGTCTCCATTTTTAAAAGAAATTCTGAAAGTTATCACTGAATTTCAAACTTACTAGGAAAACGAAATCATTATTAATATTAACTAATTTGTTTACCCATGGTCAAAGTTGTTTTTGCTTTATCAGACTCCAGCTCACCATGACATATGAACTTTGATCATTATCATTTAAGAAATTAAATTCCTAAGTACAGAAAGCCTAGTCAGAATGAACTTACAAGTGTGTGTTTATGGACCATGAAAAAAGCTCTCTGTGATGAAAAAATGTCAATGCTCACAGTTGTAATGTTTAGTTGAAACATGGGCTCTATCAGATGGTGGTAGAGCCCATGGTTGAAACATAAATACATGTAGTGCAAGGTAAAACTTCAAAGTGAGAGTAATTTAGATTAAACACTTTCCTAGGTGTATTTGACTAGATCTTTTTTATACATGTTCCCGGGCCCATGTACATAGGCACATTTTGGGACCATGGGTACCAGCATGGGTATACATTTGCAAGCAGGTCATACAACTTACCACAAACTGTAATGTATCCAGGGTCGTTACAGTCTTTTCTGCATAAATAAGACAATTCATTAAATAAGAATTGAATTTCTTTTAATGACATCTTACCTGTCTTTCTTTTTGCAGTTGATAAAACCTTAAGCAGCTTTTCATTTGAGCGTCCTGCGATTACCCATTTAATTGTATCATTTTTTAAGGTTTTTGCTAATTTTTCTACTACAAATTGCCCAGTAAATCCAGATGCACCAAAAACAACAATGTCATAATCTTTTTCCCCAATGAACATATTCAATGTACTTAATACTTGATCTGAAATATCAGATAAGTTTTGAAATTGTTCCATAAATGACATTATATTGTTCACACTGTTATCAATAAAATGATAGAGGCGATTATCAAGAAATGTATTTTCTATGTCATAAATATCATATCCAAATATGATCACTTGAATCAAATGCAAAATGTTGCAGATGAAAGTCCAGAAATATAATATAAGTCTAAACAACATCATTGATTAAAGTACATTTGATATGACAATAATCAAATTTGTTTTCGTTTTCCACACTCAATGTAATAGTTGGTCATCTATATAAATCAAGTAGTGAGAGAATAATGCAAACACGAGTTGAAATAATACTATTTTGTTCATGATTTAGCAATATTCAATCATTTAAATTATTTGTATTGAATAACGTTTTGAATCTCTCTCATTATCTAAGAAATGTATTTGTAAAAGTATCCTAAGGCTATTCAAAAATCTTTTTATTTTATATAGAGTTTGCTAACATTTTTCAATTTTTCGTTGCTACAGCGGAGAAAATATTTTTTAAATTTTTTTTGAGTTTTTTCCTCAAAATAACGACAGCTATGTCTGCTATAGTTGAAAATACGGATGTAACTAATGTCGTAGAAGGCCTACAAGAATTGGGTAACTATGAAACACATATTTGTTTCTTTTAAACCTTAAAAATTTAAAAATGGTGGAAATTTTTCTTTTTTATAAATTTATGATAATTTAATAATTTTTCTCAATTTTCGTTCCCTGCAGCTGTGACCCCGGGCTGCAACGATACGATGAGCATCATCATTTATATTAGGCTATGAAAGTTCCAGAGTTGATGTCTACTTATTTCGAAAAATAATGGATTGATTATTTTTTGTGTCAAAATGTTTGTTTGTATCCTTATATGCGCTAGACTATAATGCCGCTGAAATGAAAATAATGTTGACTACAGTTGGGGACATAAATAAATGACAGGTGGATTTGCTGAAGTGAGGATTTCCCATGTTAAAAATAAGAGAATTTACAAGAGGCCATAAATCAGTGGATGAAATTATACAAAATGTAAAATATACAAATTTTAAGGGATATGTATCTAGACAATATTGGAAATTATGGGCTTTCAGACCACCATAATTAGGAAATGGTGATCGAAAATCGACCTGTCATTTATTTTTGTCCCCAACTGTAGGGGCAATGTAACCAAACTCGTCTGGCCCAGTTATCTACTCCCCGATTCTGAAATGTCGTAGATCTGCGATGTCAGGAGTAGATAACTGGGTCAGACGGGTTTGGTTAGGAGCAATGGTTCTATCATTGCACTGGTATTTGGGAAAACAACTGACAATTTCAGATATGATAACTTTGATAACTTCAATTCACTTTGAGGGTATGAAATGGAAGATCAACCTTTTTAAAAAACTTTGGTCATGTTTGACATTTCTGAATATTCGAACACTAACAGGGGCTCCCCAAGGGGTATGTGATAAGGCGATCTGGCCTCTAAAAATGGGTCTAAATGGGACTTTGGGGTACTTAAAAACGAACAAATCAATCTTTGCAAGTGACAATTTTGCACATTTATCGGACTGACGTGTTTTGAGAGTGACAAAAATAGATAATTCGTTCTGAATGTAAATTGATGCTAGTTAAGATGACTTATTCTAACCAGTAATCAAACAATGGAACATAACAGACTATTTAGTGCATTAAATACTTTGACTGACTAAAAAGGAACGAATCTGACAAAATATGACAAGTAAATTTTAAATGTGATAAAGTGAGAATTTTGAAATCTTAAAAGTGACAAAAGCGACCCCACTACCCCCTCTTGGGGAGCCCTCTAACACTTTAGACTCCCATGCAGGGTCATGCTATTATCGCACAAGTCATCCCAATTATCGCACGGTTATATTTCAATTGTCATTTCATGGTACTTGGAACATTTCATTGTTTAAAATAGATACATTCACGCTATAATCATTTTTCTATCAGTTCTAGTGACAAATATCAACAAAATATACATTATTCACTTGCTTTTATGCGCTTTTATGTCTTTATTTAGAGAGGGTCAAACTGTGTATACAAGTTTCACTTTTTCAACATTTGCATTCATGACAATAGCCGAAGTGAACAATTTTTAAAGATTGAAGAGATATTTGTAAATATATGGATAAATCATTGAGATTGGGAGTAATGGTGTTGAACTGGTGTTAGTAACACTGGTTTAAAGTAGATCGGTGCACATTTTAGGTATTTGGGACAATCGTGCGATAATTAGGACTGTGCAATAATTTGGACCATTTCCCCTATTAAGAAGCATGAAAGACCATGACTGGAGTCAAGTATGGGTAGTGAAATAATACACCAAATCAATGAATATTTAAGCCCTGGACTCAGTGCATTGTGGACTGATCATTCCTCAAAGGTATTGTTTCAAACTTTGCACTTGATATGTAGCATTAAGTTTAGGAAAAAACGCATAGGTGGAATGAATCAGCCACAATGCATCAAGTCCTGGGCTTAAATTCTTTTCACATATTGCAAAATATTTTATAAAATATTACTTAAAATATGTGAAATGCTTTAAGAAACTTTTTGTAAGGTTCAAGTTGTCACTTCTTTTTGTGTAAGTCGGCATCATGGGTTTCAACGCACCCCTCCCCTGCCTAATTCACAAAAAATTGTTCCATTGATAGTTTAGAACTAAATTGGATAATTAAAAAAAATTGATAGAAAAAGATTGTTCACTCTTCACCCTTTGAAAAAATATTTATTAGACTACAACTACATGGCATATGAAAATGCCTTATATATAAATTGTGTGGTTTTTAGCTTACCGGATGGGAGACAATGACTATGGCTTTAAAGAGTCAGACATCGATAATGTTGATAACATCATGGAAGCAATCAAAGAACTGGTAAGTTTATTCTGGGAAATGAATTGAACAATATTTATGTCTTGTGTGAATGGCCCTATTAAGATCCACATAGGACAAAACCATATGTTAAAAGTGACAAAAAAGGTTGCATTTTTTAATTTAAAAATATTTATTCTCCATTTCAAATTTTAGGTGAAAATGATGTCAACATTTGAAAAAAAGGCTGTTGAATGGGGGATTAGCAATTAAGTGCTTTTGAGATCAGAGTTACTTTATAATCATTCTATATCATGCAGACACATTTGTTCTTTAAATCAAAATATAAATAAGGTCAATGCAAAAAATTTTAAATTTTAGGAAAGTGAGAGAATGAAGGTTCATGAGCTGCTAGAGAAAGAAACCATCGACGCAAGTGTCCTGCGTCATCAGCTACAGTTTCTACCTGGACAAATTGCTAAACAGTTACAAGGTACAACAGTTGTATTCAACAATTACAGATTCTCTTTGAACTAACCGTTGGTGTAGAAGAACTGCTACTTAACATTTGCTGTAATTCTCATCTAATCCTAAATTATATTTTTGCAATATTTTTAATTTATAAACAATAGACAGGAACAAAAAAAAAGTTTCCTGTATACTGTGTAATATTATTAAAGAATGACGAGAATTCATGGAGAAAGTGAAATTTGGAATCCAGAATGGCATGTTCCTTACACCATCCATAGATTTTGCTACAACATTCTTTTCTGCAAATATTAGAGCTTGAAAAAAATCACTCACAATAAGTTTGTGATTTAATTGCATTTTAGAAATTACAAGAGATGCATCTCATTTTAATTTACATGTTATGTTGCTTATGATGAGAGCAGTGCATTGGTATTTTATGGTGTGAATTGCAGGCTGTAACAGAAAATAGTATATTTTAGAGGCAGAGACTTTTTGGAAAAATACATAAAATAAAAGTGTACAGTATACAGTATATGTAATTACTCAGAATAAGAATACATTACACATTGTACTGGTATTCTTGAAAAAAGTATTTAATATTATTTATATATTGGTGAATTTTAGATGCCATTGATACTGCCAGGGGTTCTAATGCTGAGGAAGTGAACAAATTGAAGAACCAGCTCCAAGGCATCACAGATAACATCACATTCCTCACAGAGAAACATGTAGTTTTGGAGAAAGAAAATGCAATATTGCAGTATGTACATGCATCCAAAACAATGCAACCTTCTACTTATAGAGCACCCTTTGGTGCTACATTGTGATCATTTTGTTTAAATCACTTTGTCAAGCAAGATGGAATCCTTTTGATTTTTCTTGTGTAAATAGAATGTTCACTGAAGCAAACAGAGACATGCTAATATGAAACCAAACACTTAAGTTTATGTTTTAATGGAAAAATCTTTTTTGATCTAGGCATGCATATACACATGTATTTTGATAAATTCACATCACAAAGACATTGATAATTTCTTAAAAATTAATTTATAACAGTGAAGCTGGAGATTTGAATAAAGAGAAAGGGTTATGCTTTTGAAATTATCTGTTTCGATACTTCTATATCTGCAGAATAAGACTGAAAACACACACATCCTGAAATTAATACTGAGACCTTTTCAACTTTCAGTCCAGAAAGAGATAAAGTACGACGACAGCATGAAGAAGTTATATCACAACTCAACCAGCGTATGGCGGAGAAAGCAAGGTATGTGAATTCTTTCTTACTGTTATTCTATAGTAAGGGTGGAGAATAAGAAAATTAATAAAAGACTAGTATGTGCCAGTAAAATCGTATCCGACTGATATGAAGTGATATTCAATCGTATCCGACAAATACTATTTCTTCATTAGTTTTGACAATTTTCGAAGAATTTTGACATTTCTAAATCAATGTGAAAAACTGAATGTGATGGACATTTATCCATTTTGGATTTGGATATATATTTTTAAGATTTTTTCACAAACCTTATTAAAATGGCGGTGAGTACAAGGTCACCTCGCTAAGAAGGAAATGTAAGAATACAACAAATTTTTCAATTCTAGGTCAATTATCTTAATTCAGTTCAAACCATAGAATAAATAGGATATCCTATGATTTTCTTGGGCTGTCATCTTTATCCACTCATGGATAAAAATGATATCCCTCAAAAATCATAGGATATCCTCTATTTATACACTGAACATGATTTGAAATATTGTTTTGGTTTCAAAATGTAAAATAAAAAGCAATTCATATTTTCAGCAAACAGATTGTATTGAATGAAACGAGGGATAAGTTGAGAGATACAAATCAGAAGATCGTTGAACTGGAAGAGGGGATCATACAGCTCAGAGATGACCTTATACAGGAAAGGGCTGAGGCCAGAATGGAAAAGAAACGCTTGAAAAAGGCTGTGGTAGGTTGGACATTTCTATATAACAGTATACCAAATAGAAATTATGTTATAATATATGACTGGTGTGGTGAGAGACATTTTAGCGAAAAACCTTACCATTAACCTACCACAATGAATTATTAAGTACATACTGTACACTGTATGTCCTCTTTGCTTGGTGCAAATCTGGCCTTCTTGCAATTATAGTGTAGTAATCTCATATTGATTCAATATTTACAGCATGACACCACAATCAAGACACTAGAGCAACCCTACTTGTAATTATAGTGCAGTAATCTCATATTGATTCAATATTTACAGCATGACACCACAATCAAGACACTAGAGCAACCCTACTTGTAATTATAGTGTAGTAATCTCATATTGATTCAATATTTACAGCATGACACGACAATCAGGACACTAGAGCAACCCTACTTGTAATTATAGTGTAGTAATCTCATATTGATCCAATATTTACAGCATGACACCACAATCAAGACACAGGAGCAACCCTACTTGTAATTATAGTGTAGTAATCTCATATTGATTCAATATTTACAGCATGACACGACAATCAGGACACTAGAGCAACCCTACTTGTAATTATAGTGTAGTAATCTCATATTGATCCAATATTTACAGCATGACACCACAATCAAGACACAGGAGCAACCCTACTTGTAATTATAGTGTAGTAATCTCATATTGATTCAATATTTACAGCATGACACCACAATCAAGACACAGGAGCAACCCTACTTGTAATTATAGTGTAGTAATCTCATATTGATTCAATATTTACAGCATGACACCACAATCAAGACACTAGAGCAACCCTACTTGTAATTATAGTGTAGTAATCTCATATTGATTCAATATTTACAGCATGACACCACAATCAAGACACTAGAGCGACCTTACTTGTAATTATAGTGTAGTAATCTCATATTGATTCAATATTTACAGCATGACACCACAATCAAGACACTAGAGCAACCCTACTTGTAATTATAGTGTAGTAATCTCATATTGATTCAATGTTTACAGCATGACACCACAATGTAGACACTAGAGCAACCCTACTTGTAATTATAGTGTAGTAATCTCATATTGATTCAATATTTACAGCATGACACCACAATCAAGACACTAGAGCAACCCTACTTGTAATTATAGTGCAGTAATCTCATATTGATCCAATATTTACAGCTTGACACCGCAATCAAGACACTAGAGCAACCCTACTTGTAATTATAGTGTAGTAATTTCATATTGATCCAATATTTACAGCATGACACCACAATCAAGACACTAGAGGAACCCTACTTGTAATTACAGTGTAGTAATCTCATATTGATTCAATATTTACAGCATGACACCACAATCAAGACACAGGAGCAACCCTACTTGTAATTATAGTGTAGTAATCTCATATTGATTCAATATTTACAGCATGACACCACAATCAAGACACAGGAGCAACCCTACTTGTAATTATAGTGTAGTAATCTCATATTGATTCAATATTTACAGCATGACACCACAATCAAGACACTAGAGCAACCCTACTTGTAATTATAGTGCAGTAATCTCATATCGATCCAATATTTACAGCATGACACCGCAATCAAGACACTAGAGCAACCCTACTTGTAATTATAGTGTAGTAATTTCATATTGATCCAATATTTACAGCATGACACCACAATCAAGACACTAGAGGAACCCTACTTGTAATTACAGTGTAGTAATCTCATATTGATTCAATATTTACAGCATGACACCACAATCAAGACACAGGAGCAACCCTACTTGTAATTATAGTGTAGTAATCTCATATTGATTCAATATTTACAGCATGACACCACAATCAAGACACGGGAGCAACCCTACTTGTAATTATAGTGTAGTAATCTCATATTGATTCAATATTTACAGCATGACACCTAATCAAGACACAGGAGCAACCCTACTTGTAATTATATTGTAGTAATCTCACATTGATTCAATGTTTACAGCATGACACCACAATCAAGACACTAGAGCAACCCTACTTGTAATTATAGTGTAGTAATCTCATATTGATCCAATATTTACAGCATGACACCACAATCAAGACACTAGAGGAACCCTACTTGTAATTATAGTGTAGTAATCTCATATTGATTCAATATTTACAGCATGACACCGCAATCAAGACACTAGAGCAACCCTACTTGTAATTATAGTGCAGTAATCTCATATTGATTCAATATTTACAGCATGACACCACAATCAAGACACTAGAGCAACCCTACTTGTAATTATAGTGCAGTAATCTCATATTGATCCAATATTTACAGCATGACACCACAATCAAGACACAGGAGCAACCCTACTTGTAATTATAGTGCAGTAATCTCATATTGATTCAAAATTTACAGCATTACACCACAATCAAGACACAGGAACAACCCTACTTGTAATTATTATAGTGTAGTAATCTCATATTGATTCAATATTTACAGCATGACACCACAATCAAGACACAGGAGCAACCCTACTTGTAATTATAGTGTAGTAATCTCATATTGATTCAATGTTTACAGTATGACACCACAATCAAGACACTAGAGCAACCCTACTTGTAATTATAGTGTAGTAATCTCATATTGATTCAATATTTACAGCATGACACCACAATCAAGACGCTAGAGCAACCCTACTTGTAATTATAGTGCAGTAATCTCATATTGATTCAATGTTTACAGCATGACACCACAATCAAGACACTAGAGCAACCTTACTTGTAATTATAGTGTAGTAATCTCATATTGATTCAATATTTACAGCATGACACCACAATCAAGACACTAGTGCAACCCTACTTGTAATTATAGTGTAGTAATCTCATATTGATTCAATGTTTACAGCATGACACCACAATCAAGACACAGGAGCAACCCTACTTGTAATTATAGTGTAGTAATCTCATATTGATTCAATATTTACAGCATGACACCACAATCAAGACACAGGAGCAACCCTACTTGTAATTATAGTGTAGTAATCTCACATTGATCCAATATTTACAGCATGACACCACAATCAAGACACAGGAGCAACCCTACTTGTAATTATAGTGTAGTAATCTCATATTGATTCAATATTTACAGCATGACACCACAATCAAGACACTAGAGCAACCCTACTTGTAATTATAGTGCAGTAATCTCATATTGATCCAATATTTACAGCATGACACCACAATCAAGACACTAGAGCAACCCTACTTGTAATTATTATTATAGTGTAGTAATCTCATATTGATTCAATGTTTACAGCATGACACCACAATCAAGACACTAGAACAACCCTACTTGTAATTATAGTGTAGTAATCTCATATTGATTCAATATTTACAGCATGACACCACAATCAAGACACAGGAGCAACCCTACTTGTAATTATAGTGTAGTAATCTCATATTGATTCAATATTTACAGCATGACACCACAATCAAGACACAGGAGCAACCCTACTTGTAATTATAGTGTAGTAATCTCATATTGATTCAATTTTTACAGCATGACACCACAATCAAGACACAGGAGCAACGAGAGATGAACCTCACCAAGAAGAAGTAAGCACCTCCACAAACTTTTAATTAAATCTAGAAAATTGATTGATTTTTGAATTAAAATCAGAGTAAGGCTAGAATATACAGATTTTAGAAACAGTAAGATTATTACTAATTAAGTAGTGTTTTACCTCATTACCTCAATGTACCTCAATTGAAAGTTATGTACAGTATCTAACTACTGTATCTACACATGTACATGATGATTTTAATACAAATAATAATACATATTATTTGTAATTTTATCAAAGGGAATTGAACACAATACAAGAACAGCTTACTGAGAGTGAATCAAAACTTGATGCAGTTAGGAAAAATATCCGTCGTTATGAGACATCACGATCACGTCTTGAGAACCAAGAGAGGGCGCTAGTGGCACAACTCAATAGAGAACTCAAACAGAATGTAGATCTGCGGAATAAAGGGTCAGTAGGATGATAAAATATCTTTGTTTTATAACCCTAACTTTGATTGATAAGAACTTTTTTATAAAACTCACACAAACACTTAGTTGGGGATATACTTAATATTTTGAAAGTAAAAATTATAGGGGTCACTATCCATATTGCCAACTTCATCCAGAGTACATCCAAGTTAATATTTACTTTATTTTCCAGTCTGGACATCAAGAAAGAAACTGCATTGAACCAGGCGGAGTTTGATCAGAAAAGATCCGAACTAGAGCAGAACTTGTTGGAGGTATTATAAATTAGACACTTTTCATTCAGAGCCAAAATATTTTACATACTATTTTTCTCTCGAGTAAGTACAGTTTGGAATATCAACTTCAAATGTTGTATAACTTTACTTTGCATAAGATATTATGATCTTAGTTCTCTGGTTTCCACTTTCCAGCTTGATGAGAATATTGCTAAAGAAGACAAGAAGGAGGTTGACATGGAAAATCAGAAAATAGAGCTCAAGGATGGTTAGTAGAGATTCAAAATCCTAATGTTCAAAAAGTACATCCCTCCGGTTACAAATGAAACAAAAGAAAATTGAGGGAAAACATTTTTTGGTGACATTTTGTTGACTCTAGTCTCAAAGGTTACTGCTGATGAATAATTATTCCTGTAGATTATAATTAATGAATATTTATAGATAACTTGAAGATGATTAGCTGATGCATCGGGGAACAACTAAATAACACAGTTGCATTCAGCAGTCTTTTGATCTATTAGCTCAGTTGAAGCAATGTATATGTAAAATGTTGCTAATCGAGTCCAGTTTTCCCTCAAATAAGAATTCAAGATTCAAGTTGTATTTTTCAGATCTGGTTTATGCCCTGGACCAAAAGAAAGAAGACAAACGGAAGGTTGATGAGTTGAATGATATGTAAGCTTTAAGATATTATTTGACCTACTAAATGTTTTAACCAAAATTATAAGTTAGAAAATTTATTCTTTAACCTCTTGAATACCCAAATTAAATAAGACTGGTGCCCAGAGGGACGAGAAAATCCGTCACAAAATTTTTCACAAGAATTGCTCTCATTTGAATAATTTTCATCCAATTTACACAAAAATTGTTTTAAAACGTGTAGAAATGATCTCTGCCGTCCAATTTTACTAAGCTGAGCATCTAAAGTTGTACAGGTATGTAATAAAATGTCAAAAGGTGGCAAAAAATGAAAAATCCTCTGGTTTCATGCCAATTTTAGAGCCTGGGATTCAAGAGGTTAAACAGTCTAGCTTTTCCACTTTATCCAGCCATTAGAAAATGATTGTTGATTCAATATTTTTCTAAGTTGATTCAAGTCAAATACAATGAAACCTGTAAAGTGGAACACCTCTAGAACACTCCTCTGTAAGTGGAACACTTCAGAGTTTTAAGACTTAATGTTCAATGAACCTCTGTAAGTGGAACATCCTAAAAGTGGAACACTTTTTAGAGGTACCAAAGGTATTCCACTTTGATAGGCTTTACTGTATGTATATGCGCTCCCTTGAGGGTCAGATCCTGGTCCATTACAGGATAGTGGAAGATCTCCTTTAAAGAATTAAAATAAAACTATTGATAAGAGTATACAAGTGAATCTTGCATACATATGATAAGGAGCATACATTGACACATTTTACAATGATGTATTTATAGATTACAAGAAGCCAAGGAAGCTTTAGCTAAGAAAGCTGAAGATTGTGCCAGAATGCAAGAAGATACGGCAGCCATGGAGGAACAAATCCTCAGCTTAGATGAAACACACAAGTAAGGATCACTCGGAATTAGTTCATTTTAATGATATGATATTCATTCAATCTTAATGTGCTTAATGGCATACACCAAGAACTCATGATGAAACACACAAGTAAGGATCAATCCGAATTACAGTAAAACCTGTATATCTGAACACCTGGCTAATCCGAACACCTTCCAATTTGAACACTTTTTTTCGGTCCCATTTTTTCCTCCCATTGACTCCCATGTTAAAAAAACCTTGAAATCTGAACACCTCCTAATTTGAACAGTGAACAACCAGATTTGAAAAAGTGACCTGTCTAATCTGAACATTTTTATCAGAAATCAAATGTCTGGACATCTCAATAATAGCTACATATTGAGTCAATGCTATAGTTGTTATTTATCTTTACATATATACAAATGCAATCAAAGAACCAATCGTCCTAATTAACTTATTTAGTCTCAGTGACATCCCTAATTTGTGGAAAACAACAGGATGTTTTGGAAAGGTGTGAATACAGGAGTTAATTGGTTTATCCTATTAGAAAAGAACTGAATGTTTTATTTTTGGATTAAGAGAAAGGTGTGAATCAAGAAGATAATTGATTTATAATTATTGGAAATTACCTGGATGTTTTTGATTTGGATTAAGAGAAAGGTGAGAGTCTGGGAGATAATTGGTTTATCCTTATTGTAAATTAACTGGATGTTTTTGATTTGGATTATGAACAGGTCTTAACTGTTTTATATCCCATGGGTCTGTTATGATAGCTAAGATTCAATGTTTTATAATCACAAAGACAACACAGACGCCATTTGCAGACACGATTATATCACGAGAAAGAGAAAAAACCAACTTCGTAATATTCGCATACATCTGACATCCTTAATGCCCTTGATATTTTGAAGGATTATACATCATCTCGAATGAACACTCATGAAAAATTATTTTTACTTGAAGAGGATATCTACTCAAATATTGCTAATGCTAAAAGTGCCAAGAAACAAAAAACAATGAAGGACTTTTTCAAGCAAAAGTAAAGCAGTGCTATATAACCATAATATGGGATAAGCCATTTGATAAGCATAAGATTTCGTACGAGACTATCATATACTTTTACAGTGTATTACAAAGTTTTTGCCAAAATATAAGAGTTATTTTTACTAAAATGATGAAATTGTTCAAAATATAAATAAAACATAGCATATAGGCTATAGGTCTATTGTAGAATTAACTCATCAACAACATGTATTGTTTTCTGACTTACTAGTATTAAGTGTTCAATATAGTGCACTGAACAATGAAAATACCCCCCCCCCCCCCCCGACCAACAAAATCCTCGAAATTTGAACACCTGCCAATTTGAACGCTTTTAGCTGGTCCCATGGGTGTTCGGATTAGACAGGTTTTACTGTACAGTACTTCATGCTTCATTAGATTAAACTGATATTAATTTAATCTTAATGTGCTTAATGACATACACAAGTCTTCAATCTATACTGCCTACCATATGTTTACCCAAGTCTTTCTATCTAGGGTGGTCGTGACGCAGTTGAACAAGCAGATTGAGGAATGTCGGGAACATTTGAACAAAGAGAGGAAAGAACGAATGGATCTTCAACTTGATCGAGATGACGTTCAGAAAGAAATTGATGATTATCGCCAGGAAAATCAAAAATATTTTAACGATATGACCAAGAAAATAAATGACAATAAAGCGCGTCATGATCAGCTATCACGGGAGGTAAGAAAGTGGTTGATATGTTAACTATTTATAAATCTTACTATGTAACATACAGTCAAACCTGATAGGTGGAACACCTCTTTTAGTTGAACACCTCTCTATAAGTGAAACAGTTTCTCAGAAATTCAGAGTCATTTGACTTACTGACTTAGTGTTAAATTGGAACAGTTTTAAGAGATACTCGTGTTTCCTCTTCGATTTTGCTATCTAATCATTAGATCAGTTAATATTTCATTCAAGATGGGATGCATTTTACACTTGTTTATTATAGTAATGTAATAAGTACTATTGAAGATCCACGGATGAATAGTGGGTTTTCTTAACAACATGCACATGGATAAAAATAGTAACTTAAAAATGGTTCAAAACATTATACTGACATGTGAGTGCGATTTTATGTGCTACCTTACAGTTTTCAAAGGCGCAAAATACTAATTAATCAATTGGGAATAAAGTTGCCGTTTGTGTCATCTGATTTATCTAAAAATCTCATTAAGAGCTTTTTAATTGTAGTTTTCCAAGGAGGTATTGTATGAACTATGAAGCTATTCAAAACATTTCTGATGTAACTTATTTTTAGGTTATTTGTTATTTAATGGTGTAATTTAATTTGTGTTAAATTTTATGTTAATTTACATAATAAACATAGTTAATTACATTTAAGATTGATCCTTTCTCTCCGTCAAAAAAATTCAAAATTAAACAATTATTAAATGTTTAATGCAGTCATTAACTTTTAAAATGGACTTCTACCTCCTACCAGTAATGTGATAAAGTATGTAGGCATATGTTGATAAATTGTATTGATTCAAATAGTGATGCATATATCCAATTTTCCAGAGCAACCACTTGTCTAGGACTATACGCAAAGATGATGAAACAATTACAACATTACAGCGTGAGCTAAGTGCAGCGCGGAAGAATTTCAACCGCATGGAGAAAACACTAGAGGACAGGATAAGCCTGTTAGAGGTAAGATGCATCACATTAAGTATGAGCTATAGATAATAGGCTATGGGTTTTTGCATTATAGCCATGGATCTCATAATAGACTATAGTCGCACTACAGCCCTGCATTATGCTATTATGAAGTTGTTCCTCTATAGCCTTGCATCATGTGTTTAGCTGTATATACAGGGTGTCAAATAAGTCCTGTCCCCCCTCTACAGCCAAAACCAAGATATTTGGTACCAAGTGTGATATATCATTGGAAAGGTATTCCAAAGTTACATTGATTAGCATATATCCGACACATTTCAATCAATCTCACAAATTTTTACATTGTATCAATTGAGGTGACCATAGGCCTAGAAACATGGCAATTTGGCGTATTTGGCAGGATTTTAAGAATCGGGTATAAAAAAGGTCAAAGGACCAAAAGATGACTAAATATGTAAATTGCAATGAATTTAACCAATTTCTGGATAGGGTTAGATGTGTAGAAAAAAGAGGTGCAAGGAAAGTGGTGAAAACCTTTTTGTAACAAGTGGAAAGCGAAAAAGATTAACTTTTTGACATATTTCTGAGGCCATATCCTTGTCATTTTGATGCAAAAAAGCTGCTTAAAGGAGGGTATGTTAACTATAAAGGACATCATAAAAATAGGTAAATTTCATTCAAAATACTTGAGAGTTGGTGAGTTAACATAACCTTTGATGATCTTTCCAATGGTATATCACACTAGGTACCGTCTATTAAGGTTTTAGCTGTAGCAGAGGGGACGGGACTTATTTGACACCCTGTATAGCTGAATTTTAGTATGCATTGGGCTGACAAGGAACCAGACCAACAAAACTTCCTGTTTTCGATATCAATATAAATCTAGATAATGTTTTAATCGAGTTTATACATGTATTATATTCTAGTGTGTGTATGTATATATTTATTGCCCTTTATATAAAGGAGATACATGTATACAAATTATGTTAAATTGCAATTGAAAATAATCACTATTTACAAACAAACAATGTCGTTGCTTTTTAACTGACGACGACGCCTAGCTACCGCTACACCTAATTGTAACGCAATTATAAAAAAGTAACTATATTTTACAAACGCTCATTGCTTTGTTGTTTGTTTTGGGTTTTTTTTTGAACCGACGACGACGCCTAGCTACCGCGTAGACGAACGCCGTAGGCCTAAATCGACCTGTTACCTAACACTCTTGAGATTAATCAAAAAATGACATTATGGAGCTGCATTTTCTATAAAATTAAAAAGAAGACATAGCATATCATCGTACCTTCCCCAAGGTCGGTACTGTATGAAAGTATAAGATGCTTTCAATATGTTGTAGGCTAGTAAAATAAATATACAATTTATGTTAATTAGAGGTTGGTGGTGTTGCAATTCTAAATTAGTATGTAAAGTAAATGTACATAAATATGAATACAAATATTATAATTAATATACAAGTATTCAACTAAGTCAACTGAGCCAATTAGTTCAGAAACTCAGAAAGTTCCAAATTGTAATCTGTTCCCATTCTGTTTCATTCCTAATTGTCACTCTAATATATAATATCATGTTTTACTGTATAAGTATATATGCATGAACTTACTAACCCAACTATATGATATGTATGTACCTGATATCTTCCAGAGTGAAATTGCAGCTATGGAGAAGGACATTGAAAAGAAGCAAGGTTATTTAGAAACCAAAACTCCAATATTTGAAAGTCTTGAGCAGAAATATGAGGAGCGAACTCAAGATTTTGAAAAGATGAAGAAGGACATAGTTGGTAAGAACATGGGCTTTCAACTTGAAGGATATGTACTGGATTATGTGTGTCAATTGTAGGGTTGCAAATAATTGTTTTACAGCAATTTGAAGTAGTTGAGACTGACACACCTTTTTTATGCTTGAGAAATAAAGAATCGAAATCTTACAAACCTTAAAAAGAGCTCTCCATATGAGGCAACTTTTGTGATGTCGAATAAACTTAAAGAGGTTGAACCTTTTGAATAACTTATGTAAAACATGATCCATTTTGTAAATCCATTTATGTTTGTAGTTCTAAAGAATAAGAGAATGGGACTTGAGGAATCAACTAAAAGAACAAAAAAGTCTATTGAGAAACTTTCTAACCCTCAGGTGAATATTTCCTACCTTGATATAGTATTTAACATCAGCTCATGGCTAGCTATGTGTCATGAGATACAGGACTTGACTAGCTGTGTGTACATGACATTTGCAGCTAGCTACATCAGGACATTATTGTAGATAGCTACAGCACATAGGCTAGCTAAGAAAAATGACCACACTTACAAAGAATGACTGCCTGTTTAAGTGTGTCATAAAACACAAGTCATGATGATTAAAATGAAAGAAATGAAAAATTTTTACAAACCCTTTTATCTTACTGTCCAAAATTAATAGCCTATAAGTCTTTGTGGATTTTCAGCTTGAGTATAATGCAGAACTTAAGGAGAAGCGCAAAGAATCTCTGGATCAGCTTAAACAACAGGCAGCTGACAGGAAGGCAATAGAGGAGGAAATATACACTGTTGGTTGCAAACTGCGCACTGTCATTGAAGAGAACAATCGCTTTGTTGAAGCCATTGATGCCATAGAGACAGAGATTAAAGGTAAAAATTGAATGGATTGTATGTTGAACAGTGTAGGATTAATTTGAAACATCGGATCAAATCCTGTGCTGAGGGCTGGTGTTTAATAGAAACTCAGTCTACCTTTGTGGGAATAGAACCCACAACTACGAGATCTCAAGTGCTCTTTTAATTATCCATTCCCACAATGTTTTATACAAGAATTGTATCTCTATATCAATGGTCGAGAACATAGCGATTTTGTTCAGATAACATGTTTTGGGTCTTTACTCTGGATACATGTATATTTGAATTTTGCTTGAAAGTTGTTTTTTCCCTGTTTTTTTATGTAAACATTTTAAATATTAATTTTCATTTTACAAGACAGATGCTGTACAACAACAATATTATAGCTATCCGCATCCGTTTGGGTATCTCTATTGTGCATTGTACATAGATTATGAATAGTAGACAGTTATACATTAAAACCTTTTTCAAAATGATCACTATTTTTCCCAAAATATTTGCTTGTAAAAGAAACAGCATTATTTTGCAAGAGAGATGCTCCTTAACAATGATAAACATCCAATTGTTGCAGGTATCCATGCAGAGATGGATGAGACAGAACAACTTAAGGAGCAACTCAGTGAGCTTGCCCTTGAGAATAAAGCTACACTTTCTGAAGGTTGGGACAAGGACCATGCTATGGACAAGGTAGATATAGATATAAATGTAGTTACACGGAGTGTCAGTACATTAGGTTGATGAAGCTTTCTAGTAAATGAGCAAAATCAAATTATTGGAAAAGGTAGTAAATAGTGTAATTGGGAGGGTATCTAGCTACATGTACTCTGTCTTATTCTGTTGAAGACACATGAACAATTTATGATTGCAATTAGGGTTCAAGTCCATAAATTCATCATTATAAATCAATAAGATTTTGATATTTTCTTGGTAACAGATACTTGTTTCCCTTTAAAAACCAAGCTTAGCGTTAACAAATTTTATTGTACCTAAAAAGGCATGATATTGTTGTCAGCTCGGGAAGTGGGTTGGGGGACTGGTGGGTGGGTGGCTATTGTCTCACTTTTCTTCTTGTCACCACGATTCCAGGAAAACCGCTTAATGGAATTCCTTTTAAATTTTTATTATTGCAGGAAATACAAGACAGGGATTTAGCGTTGAGTGAACTGATAGGTGACTTACTTGCCAAAACAGAGAAACGTGAAAGCAAGATCTCCGGTATAACATCCCAGCTGAAGGATGAGCTATACCTGCTCTCAACCTTTCTAGATAATGTATCAAGCAGGAGGCCCCCTGGTGAGTAAAACTACTCATTCTTCATATTGGTATCTGAATTTGTGAAGTCTTTGATTATTCCTAAAAATTAAAACTTAACATCATATATTTATATAGACCATTTCCAAAGCTTCACTTTAGACTACAGGGTGGTCAATAAATAAATAAGTCTCCCATTTTTTCTCCCATTTTAAGAAAATTGTCAGCATGTCTTAACAATTTAATTTTGAGTTTATAATGTGTGAATGAAAGTTGATGCAAGAAATGAGATTTCTTAATTTATTTGCTTCAATTATGATCTAATTAATGATAATTACCACATTTATAATAATTGATCATGCATGTAACAAAGTCATGTTATGTTTAAATGTATTTTATGTACTTCAGCTAAATTTAAAATGAGTAAGTGATTGTTAAGTAGGAGCGTTTAACAAAAATGTATATGTATATTATATTGTATTTCATTATTACATCATAATACTGACTTATGCAGACATCTTAAATGTTTTAGACTAATCCTGTTTCTATAGATAGTATATACCTTTTATAAATGTTGTATAATAGTGTCATTTTCATTGAAAATTATAATAGATTTTGGTTATACATGTTTATTTTACCGTAAGAATTCCACTCTGACATACAAATTATTTAACATCATAAGTGTAAGACTTAATTAACATTTTGTTGAAGACAAGAGAAAGATATTTTGTTATTATCCCATCAAATATTGAATTTGGACAATTCTGTTTCTTCAATAACATCTATATTTAATCAGGTATCTCAATTGAAGATTGCTTCAAATATTTCATACTCTATTCTTTCCAATTGTTTTCAGCATATTGATTAAATATATATTTCATCAAAATCAATGGATTAGAAATTAAATAGTTCACACCTCACTTAAAATAACCAGATCCCCAAAACATATATAAATCACTTAACATTTCATATTTTTCATTTCCAGAGAGTCGTGTTCCATCCAGACCAGCCACTAAGGCATCCACAAGATCTCGGGACTCTAAAGGTAAACCTAAAACAGCTGACACGATCCAACCAACAAGGAAGAAGGACCCAAGGGACTACATGCCTCTCCCTATAAGTCCGGCCAAGAGCCCTAGAGATCCATATGCTACCCCTCTCAGTGCTAACATTTCACTAGACGAGACTAGAAATGATCTCCTTACCCCATACACGCCATTTAAATCTAAGGAGCAATATTCTCTACCTAGTAGCCCTATGAAAACAGTGCACGCATCGAACAAACCTGTATTATTTAAATCAGATAAGGAGCCTCTGGGACCCATTAGAAGTGCCTCTAACAGCCCCAGTTTGCCAACTACTCCAAGAAGTGGGAAGAAGTCTGTTGTGATTGAGCTTCCTGTCCCAAAGAAAACTGATGTGACAATGTCAGAGAATGATGCTATCCATGTTGTTGCCAATGTGAACCAATCAATCAATTAAACCTCAACCGGAGCATGTCAATCAGAGCATGTCATATCAGAGCATGTCAATCAGAGCATGTCATATCAGAGCATGACATATCAGAGCATGTCATATCAACAGTGTCATGAAAGGCCTTATGTGTTTGATAATTTTCACTCTAGTCTTGCTGTTTTCAGTGTTTACATTAAAAGCATCAATTGTGATAGGTAATTCCATTCCAAACTTGTGTAATGCCCCATGGCCTATTGGTTGAATGAACTGTGCTTTATTGTGCCTTGTCCTACATGGAATATTGTGCCAACTGCCAACAGTTCACTTTTACAAATTGTTCAGGGATTTGATTTGTACAGAACATTGGCTTAGATTATATTGGTCAATAAGGGATATCTGCTCTCTTCAAAAGATTGTATTTCAAATCTTGTATTTTACTTGTATATTATCAATAAACACTTCAAGTGTTCTCTAGTCATTGATATTATCAACTATTTTATCAAGCATTATTGGTGTAATGGTTATATTTGAAATAGTATAAATATATGAACATTTGTATATTTGCCAAAAATTTGAGAATAAAGTTTTCAAACCTAAACAATATCTTGAAAGTTTTATACATGTTATATACTGTATAACCTGTGTATTCTATACAAAGGGTTGGTTTGCTCCAATTTTTTAAGATTCTCTGAATTGGTAATATTGTGGGATGTTCAAGTTTAAACCTGTGGAGAAAACCTTTCACTGCAATCAGATATATCCCATCATTCCTAGAACATATAGAATCAATGTTTACATCTGCATGTGATACTGTAGCTTGGGTTGATTTGGCACCCAGTTTATATTAGTGAATATGGTGATTTCTTCTCTTATAAACATCATCCATGCATCTTAAAGTCAATCTATTTTTGGAAATGAAGATTTCACTGGGCTGAAAAATGTTGATTCTACAAATGTATGACACACCTCATCTGATATGTGAATGGAATGGAAATGGAACTTGCCCAAATCTGCAAAATGAAATAAAGTCAAAATGTCAAAAATCAGAATATTCTCCAAATTAAATAGCGTCAAATTAAACTTGCATCTTCTGTTAGTAAGTAATTATGGGTACAAGGTATGTAATGATGAGCAAATAGGGGAAATGTGCAAAAATATGATAAGTTGTCATGAGAATCGTTCCTTCAATTGGCGAACATTCAATTTTTGAAGAATACTAGTATCTTTTTTTATTAATTTACTTTGGCTGTGCCACACTGGCATTATAGCCATGTAATAGCCAGAATATCATGTGACTACAAAATTATAATGTTTAAAATAATGCACGTTCAATTGACAGCGTAAGAAATGACCACTGGCACTGACTGGTCTAATGTCAGGATCCTCGCTTGATAGTACACAGAAACAAAAGTTTTTATGAACTAAAACTGAATATTGAATCAGTTGTATGAAAATATAAGAATAATATGATGTCCAAATATTGCATTTTGATTGAAGGTGCTGGTTTAACCAAAGTTATACAAGTAGTAGGTGCTTTCAATTAATAACAGTTACTCGTATATTACATTTATTCTCAGACTAGACTAATCTACATGGCTTTACATCATGTACATGAATATAAATCTCTGTAAAAATATCTGATTTACATTTATACCTACAACAGATGATGAATTCACATATTCCTAGAATTTATCTCAATTAAAGTCAATTGGGATAAATTATCAGATTATTTATCCAGGATTGGATTCATACAATCCCAGAACATTTGAGAAATCTCCAAGATTTATAAAAATCATATGGAATATTTGATTGAATTTATACAAAAAATCGAGGTGGATTGACATTTCGAACCTTTTTATTTGACAAGTTTAATTTGAATTCACCAATATCAAGGTTTTCTTAAATTGATTTTATCTACAAATCAGTAAGTGTACAATATAAAAATATCTGTCTAATTATATTTTTTAATTTTTCAAAACAATAAAATTGGATACATTTTACTGGGATGGAAACTAGCCACTGATCAAGTATACAATTTACAAGTAAATGTACTAAAGAATATACATTTCTGAGATTATATTAAGCATGAGCAAAATAAGTAAAATAATATCTTATCATAAAAGACATCACTACTCCATTTGGTTCACTAAAGTTCTCCATTGTCCCTGAGTTTCTTCTTTATTTCTCTGACTTTGTACTGCATATATCCAACAACAGGGTACTTTTCCATGTAGGTACCAACAAATATATCATCTAAAGCTTTTAATGTATCATCATCCAACCCATTCTGGAAATAGAGACATACAAGGTATAAACATGCAAAATGTCACCACCTGTCATTTGTTACAGATGTCGAAAACTGACTGCCAAACATCATCCACAAAAATGTTGGAGATAACAATGTCACCACTTGTGATGGTGACATAAAATAAGGAATTAAAAACTCCATTTACATGTACCAACAAAACTAGAAATGAAACCTAGCATATGATGAAAAAGCACAAAGGGTAACATTTGAAAGGCAAACATTGACCCTTATTAAATCAAATGAATCAAAGTAAACATGAAATATGGAACAAATAATTTTTATCTTGATATGAGCAAACAAGAAATGTTCAATAAAAATAATTTTATAATGTACACAATTCACAGTTTTTTAGAACTATAAATGGAGAAGACACATTTATAAACAAAATTGTGAGTATGAATGTTGAAATAGAGTGAATCTTTTTTTAAATCAAGAAATATTATATACCAAGGCACAGTGAAATGTAGTAAATTATAAGAAAGGGTATATTTGATGGAATAATGCAATATGAAACATGGCAAAATAAAGCTTACTGAAATATTTGGATATCATAGATGTTAACAGAAAACAAAACTGGAGGATGGTATTTACAAGCAGAGGTTGCCATAATTAATGGGCATTTACTTGAGGTTTCACTGAAGATGTGTTTACTACAACAGAAATGTGTTTCTTACAGAGCTGTTCAGAAAAGAAAGTGTTCACTACAGACAGGGGTTCAAAGAGAGGTGTTCCCAAGAGAGAGATGTTCACAAGAGAGAGAGAGAGAGCTGTTCATGAGAGAGAAATCACAAGAGAGAGGTGTTCATGAACAAAGAGATGTTCGCAGGAGAGAGAGAGATGTTCATGAGAGTGGTATTCACAAGAGAGAGGTGTTTACAAGAGAGAGGAGTTCACAAAAGAACATGGTCTATTTATCATACCAGATTATAATTGATATCTTCAGGCTCTAATGACATCTTAGCAACAGCTCGACTTGCATCACGTCCAACCAATGCATTGTAAGACTGACCTTTGCCATAGAAACCTAAAGAGAAATGGGAAATATAAATACTGTACGCCCGGTATTATTCGCGAGCTTTAATTTCGCGAATTTTGCGAAAACACGGTTTCACGGCTATTAAAGTTCGCGAATACTGTATTTTATCGTATTCGGGGATTCCCCAGTATATGATGTCCAATCATATTGCAGGCTACGATCACGTGAACAATTGTGCGCACGTGCTCTTTCATTGCTGCGCATGCGCATAGTAAAGTCATGGAGTTGCACAGTACTATTGAAGTACTATAACTCGATCCAAACTAGTAGACAAAACGAAATGCATCAGAGCCCCGGGTAAAAACAAATTCCCGGGGATTTAATTGGCAATTTCGCGACGATAATTTTTCGCGATTTTAACACCCTCGCGAAAAGCGCGAAAGTTAATCGCACGCGAATAATACCAGGCGTACAGTATCAACTAAAACAGGATAAAATGGAATTGACTCTTGAGAGGGAAAATTAAATTGAATATAGCAGTATAAAGTTTTAAAAAGAAATATTTTAACAGTCAATGTTGTATAACATTTGAAAGCTGGAACTCATACAGTATTCATTACTTTTCAAATACACTTTGGTGAATGTAAATTGATACAGACAACTTAGATAAGTTTAATAATACTATACATGTACACTATATTTACTCACTTCGAGAGCCATGTTAGATTTTGAAACTTATGGCTCTCAAACGGAGAAGTGAACAGCTGATCAATAGTGACCTTTGAAATCGAATTAAGTCGATCCGCGGCTTACTTTTGGTCTCTAACTGTGTCTTACATCAGTATCATCAATCCGTGTAAGTATTGGAGCGCTGGAGTACTTCTTTTTCGATCAAGACTTGTAAATTGTTCATCGAGTGAAAGTTTTTGAATTAGTTAGGTTCGGACAACCTCCGGAGATTTACGAAAATGTCCGAGCAGAAACCGCCATATTGGAATTTGGCAGTAAAACGATTCACTCGACTAAAAATTATAAGTCTTGATCGAAAAAGAAGTACTCCAGCGCTCCAATACTTACACGGATTGATGATACTGATGTAAGACACAGTTAGAGACCGAAAGTAAGCCGCGGATCGACTTAATTCGATTTCAAAGGTCACGATCATTGAGCTGTCCAAATGCTCCGTGGGAAAGCTATTATATCAAAATCCAAATAGCTTTCGCAGGAAGTAACACTATATGACACATTGTGTTCTGTGTAGTCACTGTACCTTTTCCTGATGTGACATCAAACACAACGCCCTTTACTCCCATATAGATTGGTTTGTTCTCCTGAAACATTTGTATGATTTACATTTTTGTGAATTCTAGAGAAAATGTAATTTGTTGATCCATTGAATCATGGGCTTTCAACTAGACCCATGATTGAATGTAATGTTACAAACCCTTCAACCTGCACCTTTCACCTTCACTTACATATTACTGTACTCCCGGTTAATTTTGTGATTTTTAATTTTGCAAATTTTGAGAAAACACGATTTCGCTGCAATTAAATCTGGCGAATCTTAAAAAATGTATCCCATTTATTGCCTTATAACACTGGACAACGTTTTTCAAAACATGAAATTCAATGAAGTCCCAGGTAATTAAAAATTTCGCGAAGATTAAAAAGCACGAAACTAGATTGTACGCAAAACATACCGGGAGTACAGTATATGCTCTGTTAGTTATTGCCTTTGATAGGAATGTGGGCGTGGCCCTGTAGTTGATGATTTAGCTAATAAGTCATATTGTAAATGACACGTGTATTTTATATAAACTACTATATTAAATGGGGACAATATTCTCTTTCGAAACCATGTGCACAGCGTTGACCATGGTCAAAATACCGAACTTGAAAGTTTTTGTACAACATGCAAAAAATAAAATTATCACTCACATTTGTACCATCGTATTGAGCAATTTCGCTATCAGTAAATACTTTAAAAGGGTTTCCTTCTTTGAGCTCTGGTATAACAATATTTTTTAGCTTATATTCACAGCAAATAAACGTTATTTGAGTTAATAAAAGAGATAACAAACTACCAAAAATAGTAGACAACTTCATTTTACTTCCGCGTTTAAAAGTCTACCGGATTACGAAATGCAATAAAACTACGATCGCTCAAACACATAACTTTTAGCGCCCGATAAAAGTACGACCGCTCTCCATCTCTGAAAATCACATCAGAAATGAGGTAGATCCCCTCCACAAAGTCCCCATAGTAGACAGCCTTAAGACACACGAGCTAAAAGTGTGAAATCGTTGCTCTAGAAGACTAGAATATGGATCGATGACCCGGTGTCAACTTTCAACCGCCTTTCACTCTCATCATCACATGATATGCATGTACATGTACTATAAAAACAAACCATTCAAGTCACGAGATATCAAAAAGATCAGTTAGAAAGGCATCAAAAACCGTGAGATTGAAATTTCAATCGCATATAAGGTAGGTATCTAAGTTATTTATTTGATTTATTTGATTCAGTACTTTCGATCTCGATCTAGACCCGAGGATCGGTAGAGATGGATCTGGTATTCATGAAGTGATATCACAATGAACGTGTACCATTTGCCAGTGAAAACAAATAGATATATTTCTTGTAAATATATACTGGATATCCCAATATGTTCAAAGGGATGACCATACATAGTTCAGAGATCGGCAAGTAATTTCTAGGCACAATCAAATCTTAACAGGGCCGCACGATGACTTGATCAGCATTTGGTACAACTTGTTAACTTATCTTTTTGCGTTATACATGGACATATTATGTGTATTTTTAGGCCATAAATCTTAAGTAGTATAGCATAAAGCCAAACAAGCCGTACACGACCACCACTAAGATACAATAATCATGGGAGCAGGCTGGTGCTGGAGTATTGTGTGGATCCTGATCTTGATTTTCTTGGCGTTTCCGATCGCGTTCTTCTGTTCGTTTTTCTACATCATATGCAGCCCGTTTTCCGTGTGCATTAGCTGGTGTAACGCATTCACAGAGATATTTGAGAAGGGACTGAAGTTGCCCATGACGTGTGCGCAGAATGTGCAAGGTGGGACACCGTTGTGCTAAACGGTATGAGAGAATCTTCGACATAAATCTAAGCTGTAGGATGAAGAAGTAATACGGAACATTTGCCTGAAAGTGGGAACGTTTCTGGACTAAAATGTATGATTGTCCCGTCGTGACATTTCGGATACAAACAACATTATCAGTAAACACACACAGAAGTATCTCATTTAAAACCGTTCAAGGCTATACTAACACCCACGTACACTTCAAATGATGACCTTATGGCTAATAAGACGGCACAACCATTCAATGTACGGCTTCGGGTGACAATCATTTACTGAAATGAATCAGTTATTTGATTAAACAAGAAAACGACTAATTTCTTCTTAGTTTTAGGCTGGAATATGTCTGGTTCCGATAGAGAAATTTTATAGTTAACTATTAAAAATTGTATAGTAACCATTAAACTTGTATAATTAACTATTAAATTGAATAGTTAAAGACATGGCCACCAAAAGGTTTTATTACCGGACCACCCCTTTTATGTTACAAAGAATCAATTTAAATCCATGTACCCTATACAACTTTTTTGAGTACGTCAAGTTGATAAAAGCTGATATAGTCCTTTAAGCCTACTACTTATCTCATACACTCATTTTTGTATTCTCACTTCCTTATTGACTTCCAAGTATAACTTTCAAACCAAAATATGTACATGTGTCTAAACTGGTTGCCAAAATGGCGGGAAATTCAAACTAAACATTTTTTTTTCAAAAGTTTCGATATGAGGCCCGAATTAATTTTAATGTCTTACAGCTTGGATGATTAAAATCCACTTTCAAATTTTGCACGGGGCCTTTAACAAGATAGGCAGACCGATGTATTGGTCCTAAGAAAACCAACCTAAGTTTCATTTGCCTTGGTTTCTTTGGAGGTTCCAAGCTCATGAAACTGCAAATGCTGTCAGTCAGAAGTAACACTGATGTGTAACATAACATGTATATGTTTAGAACAATTTTTTAAAATTCTATATGTTTATATATTATTTGTATTTATATAATAAACAACATATAATTATATAAATATTTTGTTTTGTGTTAATGCTAATGGAGGCAGGTGTGTTAATAATAGTATCTTTGTAATACTAGTCACTGTCAGTCACCCTATCGCTTTATTGTACACTCCTCCATTACGGTTTGGTAACTGGAAATTTTCATTGGATATTAATATCATGTCAATGTTCAAATCTAAATTTTGTCCCTTAATTACGATACTTCGGAAATTTATGATAAATTTGATGATTTATTGAATCGCAAAACGTTTAAAGAAGCTTTGGTGTATGATCCCTAAAAGGAAAGTTCGGTTGCCAAACTTATGGAGGGCCGTATAAATTATTTCAGCACTTGTCAGCTGTTCGAAATCATTTTCAATTTCAATTTATTCTTTATAATATAATAAAATACAGTACATATTATAAACGGTTTAACAGGTGACATCATTTCTGATGTTTATACCCGTACATGTTAAAGCATAATATTACGAATATTAAGAACAAGGTAAGGCCAAGGAATTATCAAACAGTCCAAGATTTAAGTTTTGTCTATGGACAGTAAACAATTCAAATGAATCAACGATAAAAAATGAGTATAAAGCCTAAGTGAGTTACCCAGATACTTTTCAAATACGACCACTTTAAGTCCAACCAATGGTAATGATCACGTCTTGGATGAGTCCAATAAATAGCAGGAGGATCTCTTAGATTATTTCGCTTAAGCGGATTATAATGTAGCTAGATAGTTTTGAATTTCCCGCAAAAAATGACGTCACTTTGGTTAGACAGGTCTTATAAGATAATTTTGTTCCATTATTTCGTTGTCAGTTTATTTTGTCCAGCATCCTAACGGTGGATACAAGCAGTTAGTTTTTCCAATTCCAATATTTTTAAGATATCTATTAACCACGGATTCAATATATCGAATTATATTGCTCTCATTATTTATAGGACCTGATTACCATAGGTCGCCATCTTGAAAATTGTTACGATCCTGAAGGTGAAGTATTATTTTACGTATATCTTGATAATTCCGCCGTTGTCATGATCTTTCCATAAATCTTTCTATAGCCGAACATATAATCCCAACTTTGTGCAAGTTTCATAAGAATTTTTGATTTCCTTCATTATGAATTATTGATGAATGTAAAATGTGAAGATTTGAAAATCATTAAAAAATGAATTGATCAAGAAGTTTATTTCATTTTGATCACAGCGAGACCATTGAATTTCACACAAATTTCTGATAATATCATACTTAAGTTCAACATTGAATTTATTCTTTCAAACTGTCACTTCGCAATTTTTTGTCACTCAACTTGTATTAGTCAATTTCACTGTTTAGGTACAGCTGGAAAATAACATTTTGGTAAAAATTGATATAGAGTCAATACGTCCAAATCCAAACAGGGGGGTAAACACGAACGGGTTCCAAATAATGGCAAGCAGATCATTGAATTGAATAATAGTACCTCTACTACCTCTACATAATATTTATAGCCTGAATGATACAATATAATGATGTATACCAACAATCTTACAATAAAATAATCAATTATGATGATTTAGGTGTTCGGAATTACCCCCATGCTAGTGTTTGGAATTACCCCCACAAACTCTGTGCGTTTAAATAAATAAATGTCAGTAATAAATGATTTAAATTTGGGTTTCTTGATATGCAGGGGTGACAGGATCCAGTATCATAAGTTAAGGGTACCATATAATGATATACCATCAATCTAATAATTAAAACAATTAAGTTTAAGTTAAGTGTTTGGAATTACCCCCATGCAAGTGTTCGGATTTACCCCCCAAAAAAACTCCTGTTCGGAATTACCCCCCTAAAATACCCTGTAGTAAAAATGGAATAACCCAGATATTTTTTACAATTTTTCATAATTTTTTCTGCAAATGCATTCTACAGTGGATAATACACATAATATATATAGAATCATAGCATAGATGTGCAATACAGCCAAGCTAACTACATTTTTTGATGGGGGTGTTTGGAAATAGACGTACTGACTCTACATGCACATGTTATTTGCTGGTACAAAATAAAGGATGAAGACATGTGTCAATTTTCTTGCTTTTTTCAGGAAAGTATCATTACACTGTCTTCTTTTAGAATATCTTGTAGGAGTTCAATGGGAACTCCAGGAAATTCTGATATTTCACACTTTCCATTTTCCAAATTTTCTTTCAAAGTTTCCAGACAACACAGGAGCTACCATCGATCTGTTTCCAGGTTTACTAAAAGTAAACAGTGTAATGATACGTTCCTGAAAAAAGCAAGGAAATATACACATGCCTTCATACTTAATTTTGTACCAGAAAATAACATGTGCAGGTATAGCAATTTTTACGAAAATGTTACTTTCCAGCTGAGCCTTAATTGCGTCAGTAAAACCTAAAAAATAAGAAATTAAAATATCATTATGCAATAATAGATACTTCTAGTTTGGCTTATAAAGTGTGTGGATGCTTCTCTGCCATGTTATATCCTTAGTTATTTTCTGCTGGTCCTTTGATTGGTCAATGTGATGTGCACCGGAAAAGACTACTTCTTTTTCAGTTACTCTGTCACCTAACATTTTTACATGGAAATAGGAGAGCTTTTTTATCAGAATCGTGTCTTAATTTCTTGCTTTGGAGGCTCAACTTTGCCTTCTCCATCGAGAACTCTTGCATCTGTTTTCAAGATGGCTAAAGGGGAAGCCCCCTGACAACAGAGCCTCGATGTACCAGTAGATGGAGGAATCTTGACTGTTGAAAAGTTAATTTCCTCATCCTGCTGATTGACTGATTCGATTGCAGATTTAACTACATGGATATGAATTAATGAGTCCCTCCACCGAAAATGAAACATGAATTCACGAAGGTTGTTGACTCCTAGTTAATATAATTCACTTAATAAATTGTATCTTATATCCAAATACGCTGGGCACAATAGTAGTACATGCTGTACGTCTTCAGTGACATTTAAATTGCATAATAAACGGTAGAGATTAAAAGGTGGATTGGATCGAGTGGATTGGATTCATGTAAAAGGTGGATTGGATTGGGAATCTTCAAAATATGGATTTTCCTTAAAAAGTTCTATTAATCTCCCTCTAAGAAGATTGTAATGCTCTTCTAACTTCCACAATGTCAAATAATAGATGTAATATTATTTTGCTTGGGTGGGCTAGAAGGCCTAAGGGTGACCTGGTACCTGCTTTCTGATACACAATCTTATTTTCATTCCAAGGGTAATTT